CAGGAAGGAAAGCTGAGAGCCTGATAAGCATGATGAAGAATTGATAGCAGGCCACAGGGCAAAGAAGGGGAAGGGCCAGAGGTGGGCCTGGGCTGGTGGGGATGGAAAGCAACAGAAAGCTGCAGGCCTGTGGACCACGTGGGATGTTGGCCTGCACTGGGGGAGGAAAGTTCTGGGCAGAGCTGAGCCAGGCTTTAGCTCTACAGAGACCCCCTATGTTGCCTCCATATTCTCTTTCCAGTTTGGATGCCTTTAAATGATGCTGTCAGGAAACAGGAATGTGGCCTTCGCTCCAACCCTAAATAAAGATGGCCTGGCTCTCTGGGTTTTTATTAGCTGGGTAAAGGTACTTGGTAGGATTTCCATCCTGGGGAGAAAGTGGGTACTGAGATTGTAGTAGTGAGAAGGGGTGAAGTCTGAGGAAGGTTGGGAAACGAGAGAAGAATAGCACACACAGTGTGCTGACCCACTTGGTAGAGAAGCACCTGTGGGTGGCAGAGCTTCCTCACCAGCCAGAAAGCACTGGAGACCAACAGCTAGCCAGAGGACACTTCTCTGTAGCCTGGGGAAGTACCGTGTGCGTCCAAGACTGGAGCAAAAGACTGCGAGTCCTCAGTGCCCAGCCTCGCAGCCACCCTGGCTCTTCCTGTGCTGTGTTCCCCGCTGCGCTCCTATTCTGATGCAGAGCTCAGCTTGTGTCATTTTGTCCACACTTTCCTCAGCCTGCGCCTCGCCTCCGGAAGGTAGCACTTTGTAAGAAGTGTGCTGTGTTCAAGGAAACCATATTTGATGCGTAACTTTTTTTGTGTTTTAGTATTAGTGCTTGAGCCTGGGCTTGCACACTGAGCTACCTCCCCAGTTGTTTATCTTTATTTTGAGACAGATTCTCTCCGTTGCCCAGGTTGGGCTCAAATGAAGGATCCTCCTGCCTCAGTCTCCCACAGTGCTAGGGTGACAAGAGTATAATTGGATGAGTGGCATTTTAAGTCACTTTAAGAAGGTTCTTTTTTTCCTTCCTTGACAAGAATTTCTGATACTTTCAGTTAACTTTGCCATTAAAAAATCTTCACAATGCGGCCCAGAAAGCAGCCTCTGCCCTCTAGTATAACAATTAACGTAATGAAGGTTGAAAAACTTGACATCTAAGTCATCTTGATGTTCTCTGGGTCCTTGTGTCTAAACTTGGTAGTCTGTGATCTACCTTTGTCGCTTGCCCTCTCTCTAACTTGGAATCCCCAGAGTAGCTGGGATTACAGGTATGCGCCACTAAGCCCTGCTTAAATTTTTTCTTTAAATATTTTGGGTTTTGGGAGGGTGTGTTGGGATCTTGTTTGGTTCCATATGTTGTATAGGCTGGCCTTGCATTCCTGGGCTCAGCCGATCCTCTTGCCTCGGCCTCCTCCTCGGCAGCCGGCACACACCACTACTCCAGGTTTCTTTAATACTTTTGAATGCTTAGTAAAAATAACTGTGTTCCTGGACACTCACCTTAAACTTCTGAAGGAGATTAAATACCTACCTCAAAAAATTTCCAACATTATTCTGAAGAGTAGTTGGTGGAAAGTTAATTACAGGGTCCAGATGCTATAATAGGTTTCCAGGTGGGTGATACAGAGAGGAACTGCCGAGCCTGTGCTTTTGGGAAAGAGGCCAGAAGTTTTGGCATTGAAGTGCGGCATGCAGTGCCAGGGATTGAACCCTGGCCCCTGCACTTACCTAAGCAAGCACTTAGTCTGCTGAACTATATATTGCTGGCCCTGTTTCCAAGATTTGGCTATAACAGATTGTGCTGCTATATACCTGGGTGCACATACATCACTATGGTATGATGTTTTCAGTTCTTTTGGGAAGATACCCAGAAGAGAAATGGCTGGATTGAAGGGGATTTCCAGTCCTTGTTTTTTGAAGCATCTGCACACTGATTTCCATAGTGGTTTTGCCAGTCTACAGTCCCACCAGCAGTGGAGAAAGGTTCCTTTTGCCCCACAGCCTCTCCAGCATTTTTTATTAGTTGATATCTTTATGATAGCCATTCTTTCTGGGGTGAGATAGTTACAGACTAAACAACGAAGATGAGAGAAAGGAGAAAGGATAGGAAAAAAGGAGGAGGGAAAAACATGCAATTACACACACACACACACACACACACACACAGGATGGCTGAGATGATTGTATTTATAACTTCCATCAGTTTTTTTTTTTTTGAAAATAGCAGTAAATGTTTAGAATTTTTACCTTGACTGACTATATGCTAATTATTTGTGATTTGAGCAACTACATGCAAAACAGCAATGTGTAATATAAAACCTATGGTTGAATAACTGTCATCTTGGTCTTCTAAATGTGTACCTTTTCTAGTGATCAATTATTACACTATCTTTAAAATAAAACAAAAAAGACAAGGAAAAAATTAAGAATTCTTGAAAGCAAGCACCAATGTTCAATTATTTCCCCAGTCTTGTATAACTATATCTGTTAATCTGAGCAACAGATTGGCCAATAAAAATAGATAATATAACAACCACTTTTAATTAGCTATTCCTGTTTTGAAAATCTTTATGTATTGTTGTATGTTACCCTCTTTCTGTCGTTTTTTCAATTTATTTTTGCTTCTCTTTTTACTCTTCAAAATAAAATGAAATGAAATTAAAAAAAGGTTCAAAAAAGATTCCTAAGATTTAAAGACAACAGTAATCAGCTTTATTTCCCAAAGTCCTAAATTAGATAGTGGTGCAACACCATGATTGGATATTTGTAAATGAGACAGTTATTACCTCATAAAATTTACATATAAAAGTCTGTTTTAGAAGGCGAAGACTAATAAGCTTTTTCTTTCTTTCTGTGACAGAGTTTCACTATGTAGTTCAAGCTGGCCTTGAACTCAGTGATCCTCTTGCCTCAGCCTTCTGAGTGCTGGGATTATTACAGGTCTGTGCTGCTATGTGCAGCTTGACAACTATTTTCAGAGGTTTTCCTTCTCTTAAATGTTACATAGGGCTTTGGGTTTTACTGCCTTTTTTTTTTTTTTGTGGCGGAACCAGGGATTGAACTCAGGTCCTTGTGCTTGCCAGGCAAGCACTTATTCTACTGGGCCATCTCCCTGAC